TTGTCAGCCAATCACAGGGCGTATATAGACAAACGATCGATTCGCCACTATGGACACTTTAACATCTTCAATGAATCTTACATGCTTGTTTTGGGGGTGTAAGAGGACCTCGGAGGACCCAGAGAGAGCCCACGCAAGCCAAGATGTGCATGATGAATGCGCGTTTATATAAAATGCAATTACGGTATTTGCGGTATTACTCTGTTCCAACGTGCTGGATTAATTTCAGTAACTTTCCACATGCCGTTTATTCAGGCTGCATTTTTTTCCTGTATGTAAACTCTTGAGTTGAAAAACGTCTTTTCCAAGAGTGCCGCGTAAAACAAGCGGCAGTTCAAAGGGAAGTCAACAAACGTTCAACAATGAAGCAACCGAAATCACGGGGCTCCGAAACGAACAAGAGAATGACGTGGCGTGGCCACATGTGCGCTCAGCTTGTACAGCCCCTCTAGTGTGTTTGGGTGTACACTTTGGCTCAGTGTACGGGAGCACACTTCAAAGTTGGAATCAGGCGTGAAAATACCCTCCCGCCCCCGCTGCAACCGTCCTGAACTCACCAGCTGTTATATGCAGCCACACAGGTGGGGTCATGGCGCCCGTAGCCCAGGGGAGCCATGATTTAAGAATAGTTAGCTTAGCGCAGGAGGCCGATGGATGACGTGAAGCGCGTGTAACAAAAAGCAGGGGCCCGATTTCAGATTCATGATCTGGCAGGTCAAAATGCATTTATTGAGGCCCAAACATGGTTTGTTTTTATCGTTGGCATTTTCAGAAGCGATGTATTGTATTTTCGGGACAAGGTAATAGGGCCAATACATGCAGTATATCAGCAAGTAACAACTGGCGTTTTACTGCCTCTGCAGAAAGCTCGGCGTATAAATGGAGCATGCTTCGTGAAGCAATTATTTTTACGTTGCAAAAAGTGTCTTTACATTAACTTTGGCACTCCGAGCTTCGATAATTTAATAGAGTCAGAGGCATCTGACTGAGCGGAACCACGTGTCGGGCCATATTACGCTCGCGCGTTCTCGCTGCGCCGATGCCTAATGAGTCTTACGCGTAACTGCGGTGAATAAATTACTCTTAAGCAACCTATCGTGATGGCTGTTACGTTCATTAATGCTGCAAACAAAGTAGCAACCATTCGTAAATATTGCTGAAGAAGCTACAGAAAGGAAACGGTCTGTGCCGCTGTGCATTCACATCATTCCACGGGATAAGTTACTGTCTTGCCACCTGTTTGTTCATTTGGATCCTGAGAAGAAAAAAAAATTCCGACATCGGATCTTTTTTTTTTCTTCACTGAATTGGCTGGCAGTCATTCAAGTGATGTTCTCCAAAGATTACACATTCACATCATCCGTTCATCCGTTTTCTATCGCGCTTGTCATCCTTGGACTGTTCGTCAACCAATCGCAGGACGCATATAGAACTATTCACGGACAATTTAGTATTCAATGAACCAACCGGGCAAAGTATTTGGAGGAAAAACCACACATGTACAAGGTGAACGAAAGTCTAGGTTTAAATTCCGAGCATCAGAACTGGAAGGCAGATGTTCTTACAATTTATATTCCATAGCCACTTGTAAAATTTCTTTTGATTACATTCTAGAGCCGAGGTCTGCCTCATATTGGACCGACTGTTCCAGGAAACTGGTCAACCTCAACTTAGTTCATATCTTGCCATGGAATCATCTAAATAATAACATTTGGTAAAATAAAGAATTGTACATTCGCAGGTCACACGTTTGAAGACAACAGAGGAGGATGTTAATGTCCCAACAATATCGATCTCAAGAAGAAGTGAAACCACAAAATGCTGGGAGGAAATGTGAAGGCACGACCGAGCTGAAAGGACAAAGGCAGGATTTCATTCAAGAAGATACGAGAATATTGATTGCGCTTTCCTTTCAGTTATACTGCGCCGTCAACGCACACGCAATCCCTTTGGTCCAACGATCTTGTTAAAAAAAAACAGTCTTTTCCGACTAGCTTGGATAATACTTGTCAAGCAGGTCCAACATCAATAATATTGAAACCTTCAAATCTTGTTCTCGCTGAAGCGACAAGAGCGTTTGCGGCATTATTTCACGCGATTGCTGTGGAAATGAATAATAGATAGCATCATATTGACCAGGATCTTTTCTGTCGACAGCATGACGTCTCGATACGGATACAAACAAACCCCACTTCTGTCAATCGTTGCGTTGTTTTGGAAAAGTCGATTTTGCCCGGACAGGGATTGCTTCATCACACTGCCGCCATATAACCCCCCCAACGCCCACCCCTTCCCCCCATAACTGATTTCCCCCAGAATGTAAATCTTGTAATCCCCCGCACCACGCACGCCACCTGGCTGCCTCTTTTGACTTGAAATTCCACGCAACCAGGAAATGCTGGCCCATAATGGAATCCACTTCATCTTCTTATTGTAGGCAATGTCATCCTCTCTGCCCCGGTTGAGGCCGTAATGGCCAGTTGCTCTAAGTGTTTGTCAGCTGTTGACTGGCCCGTCTAATGGAAGCTGTAGGCTTGGCCTCTCGTCTTCAATTTGTTTCTCCATGTCATGAGCACCTGTCACGCGGCTGGCGGGCATCCGCAGGCTTCGCTATTTTCATTCAACGATGGGAACTCCAGCTTGGTGCTTTTCCATGGAAAAAAAAACCTAAACATTATCACTCACCTGTCTCCTAAAACCAGTCCGGATAATAAAATAGTCAATAAATATGAGGATTTGTCGAATATTTTACCTCTGGGGAGTTGGTCAGTGGTTGGTTAAGACAGCTCTGCAATGCTGATTTATACATTTATACATCATTATCACCGCGGGAAGGACATGCCGTCGTAACTGGGGAGGACACAGCTTGAATTGTAATATGAGATGCTGCAGGGAGCTCATCAATCACAGGTTGAAGAATCTCAGATTGCTGGGAGGAGCAAATGGCGTCTTTTGTCGCTCCTTGCCATGGGTTACCTTCTCCTCGTCCCAGCCCCCCCCCCTCCCACTTTTTTTTCCAAATCTAAAATTTCATCCCTAAATGCTTTGTTCCAAATAATTTGATCGGTTTGAAAACTTGGTCCAAAAACCTACTCTGATTGTTTGCAAGAATGAAAACAGGAAGGAGGATTGGTTGATGGATTAATGAGCGAAGAACTATTCTGCGGTAAAGTCATCCTTCCTCGATAACCGATAATCCAGATGCGCTTCAAGGGTATTGCGCAAATGATCCTCCTTGACACTGTGAAAAGACATCCTGCAATCAGGGGATATTCTAACCGCACAAATGCTAAGCTGCGGCTGTTTTTCAGGGTAAAGTCACGTTTGTTGATTGACTCATTGTATCAAGGTCACAATCGTCTCTTACCAGATGTGACATGTGTGGCTTTTGTTTGGAGGCTGACAAACCATCGCTTCTCAGAAGTCTTGAACAGTAAATGTGGTTAGTACTTTAGTTGAATTAGTTAGATTTTTTTTTGGGGCGGGGGGGGGGTGATGCCTGACAAACCACATCGAAAGAGAAAATAAACACGGGCTTTATTAAAACACACCAAAGGTTGGCTAGCACACACCCACTACTCGATTGACATGGAAAAAAACAGTTTGATGATGAACAATATCCAGATAATTTAGGAGGATTTCATCGTCACCCAACCATGATTCAAGTACTGTTTGGGGAAATCAAACTCTTAGTTTATAGGTCCTCATTCATAAACGCTCGAAATGGATTTGAGGAAGAAGAGTCACCTTAAAAAAACCTGAACTGTTCTGAAATGTCAAAACATAAAGGTGACAATAGGTAATTTTCCACACTCCACTCTAAAAGAGGCGCAGAGAGGCGACGGCAGGATCTCGCTGTCGCATCGGGATTGATCCTGCTATATATAGGCACCAGCAGACTAATTTTATCAGGCCTGGATGGCTTGGCTGTCTTTTATACCTTCATGAGGACATTTTGGATGCTTGCGTTTATCAAACTCTCTGATCTAGGACTTTACAAGAATGGCCGTTTTGCCTCTTAAGGTTGACCATAACAATCTGTGAAACCGTTTTGTCTCTCCGCATTTTTAGGAATTGGTCTTGCTCTTTTTTTGCGCCGCGGCAATAATACAAACAGGCCTTAAAGCTTTGAGAGCCCTGCAGGGAGAAGAACCACTTCTGAAAAATGCCATGTTCCTGATCTTTTCCTTTGTGTCTCACACATGTAGTGCACATGAGGCAGTTGTACGCTTCAAGATTCTCTTAGTTCCATGTATTTCTGTAGTGTTCAGCACCCTGGAGGCGGCTGCCGTTCTCTCGCTGGCTTTCACCCTTTCCTTACTTTCATCTTCTCCCGACACCATAACTTCTTTTCCTCTCACCATTGCTACCTCGCCGCCTGAGAAGCTTCGCAGGGTTTTAGATCTTGGGGATGAATCAGAACCTCTCTCGGGAGGATGGGACACGGACTGCGTCCACGTTCATCCATCCATCCATTTTCTGATCCGCTTTATCCTCACAAGGGTTGCGGGGCGTGCTGGGGCCTATCCCAGCTGACTTCGGGCAGTAGGCGGGGGACACCCTGAACTGGTTACCAGCCAATCGCAGAGCACACAGAGACAAACAAACATCCGCTCTCACACTCACACCTCGGGACAATTTAGAGCATTGGTTGGTCCCCAACCCCCGGGCTGCGGACCGGCAGCGGTCCCCTGGTCATTTGGTGCCAGTCTGCACAGAAAGACTAAATAACTTACATTACTTCCGTTTTATTCATTTCGCAATCTGAATGATGTTTTACTTTGAAAAATTGCAGGATTCTCTGTTATATCCGTTTACAATGCTGGTGTCAAACTCAAGGCCCGGGGGCCAGATCTGGCCCGCCACATCATTTTATGTGGCCCGCGAAAGCAAATCAAAGATGTCAACTTCCATGATGCTTGCCAAAATATGGACCAAAATTTCAAATTCTCATATATAAGAAATAAGAGCGATATTGTCAGCATTTTTTGGTGCCAAACCCCCCATGACAGCAACTTAAACAATTGTTGAATAATCCGTTATGACTGACTTTATAAAATGGTTTCAGTCATAATGGCCCTCAAAGGGAAATGGTAACTAAAATGTGGCCCGTGACGAAAATGGGTTTGACACCCCTGGTCTACAATATGTCACTCTTGACGCAGGTGAAGGCGGCACTTCTCGGTCACGTGATCGGTTACCACTAAAATGAAACCCAAGAGCTAGCAAAATGAGTCAAAAAAACAAACGACTTTGGAAGGTGCCTTTGGGAAGGGGAAAAGGCCCAGCTAGAAGGCAGAAGAGCAGCCTATGATTTTCAAGAAAAAGAAGGCTACATTTAATAGACAGTATCAGGAGTCCTACTTAAGTTTCGGATTTATCTCAAAGGGAGATTCCCACGCAGCAAGCCCACTCTGCATAATATGTGGCGATGGTGAGTCGTATTTTTCATGCACTTTTTTTATTTGTGGTGTATCTTATTTTGAAGGCATATTTAAATGCCACCATAGCGACCGGAGAGCGCTGCGGCCAGATCGGACGTTCTTCGTTTCATGATTCGTGTTTGTTATTATGTTACAAAAATACCACAGTTTTCATGCAAGTCATATATTATTTTGCTGTTTTTATCCGGCCCGAAGGCCAGTCTTTCAAAATCTTGTCTGACATTAAACCTGCCCGTGTGGGCAAAAAAGGTTGGGGACCGCTGATTTAGAGTGTTCAATCAGCCTGTCATGCATGTTTTTGGAATGTGGGAGGAAACCGGAGTACCCGGAGAAAACCCACGCAGGCACGGGGAGAACATGCAAACTCCACACAGGGAGGCCAGAGCTGGAACACGTCCACGTTCAGCATGTTAAAAAACATCTCTGGTCAATGTGTATTCTGCTCCATGTCACAGACAATTTTCCCCTAAAAGTGTTTTATTGTAAAAGTTAATGCGGGTGGGCAATGGGGTGGGGGGGGGGAGCGAATGTGGGGGACATCTGTTCATTCACACAATAGGAGGCAGGCTCAACTGCCGTTACTCGATTCAGAAACATAATAACAACCCCATCGTTCTGGTTCTGCTTTCTGTGACAGTGTTATTTTTGTAACAAAAGCGTTCAGCAAGTCAGATTTGAGATGACTTTACTTTTTTTAAATTCATAATTAACGGCTGACAATGTAACACTTGAAGCTTATTACCGATAAGTTTAAATCCAAAAGACAATCATCCGGGACCGCAATATGGCCGACGATTTGCATCATTGCTTCTTCGGAGAATGTCGTCCATATGAAAGGGCCTGCGTGAAATGCTTCACTGAATTGAAAACCCATTAAAGTGAATCACGAATCAAGTCAAATCGGGGCCTTGTGAATCCAATCAAATTAATTTTGAAAATCTGAATCAATACTGAGCTCACCAATGAAAGTGATGGATAAAATGTAATGCAGTTTTTATTTTCTTCCAACTTTTTTTGGAGGGGCGGGGGGAGCCCAACACTTCAACTTGCACTTAGCCTTGTCAACAGAGGCTGTGTGTGCATTGAGTTTGACGCGAATCAGGAGTGTCTTTGCAATTACTCAAACACACGCATCATCTGCATCACACTGCGCGCGCGTGTCGACTCCGAAATAACGAGGCAGCGGCAGCCGCGTCAGACCATGACACTGCAGCCTTGTTTAGTGGAGACGGTTCCTCGCCTCTAAAATAAAAGTGACGTGGTTGAGAATGTCACTTTCTCTAATCCAAACATCCAATTTGCTCAAGTCGAATGCTCGTTTTGCGCAGGTTCGCGACGGAGCTCTAAAACTGTGTATTCGCACATCTGGTCTTGTGCTCTGGGCACATATCACTTCCACCCTGTGGTGCTTTTATTATACACCTTCCTAGGTGTGCAATTATCACATTTCGTGGAAGACTGATGGGAGTAGGCTTGAGTGCTAGTAGCCTTGAAACCCACTGAGAATAAGACAGTGGCCACAAATGATTGGATTAGTGCATCCCCCTCCACCCCTCCACTTAGAATAATCCTCTTTTGTAACATCCTGAATGAGTGTGGATGTGTGTGTGTGTGTGCATGTGTGTGTGTTTTAGAGTCATCTGCCTTTCTCTCCTGGCAACCCGTGTACAGTCAGGCCGCGTGCGGGGTTCGTCCGCGGAGATGGAGCGGCATCCTGCACGAAATGCACGCTTGATGCGCAGTGTGGGATGCCGCTTATGACACACCGGAGGCAGTGAAGGCAGGAGGAGAGCGATGGAGATGCGTGTTAATAATAGACAAATCTGAGGCCTTATCGAGCAAATATGGGTGCTCCGGGATTGACTCAGATGTGGGGAAGATCCGCGGGTGTGGTGAAGGCGGGGGCAGAGTTGGATTATTGCGGTTGGGAGGTAGCGGAATGGTGTGATCGGTTGAAGGTCTGTAGGGTTTGGTATGTCATTGTCAACCTCTAAACAGCCCACAGAGCGACAGGCACTTTGAAGTCTGGTAGAGCTGTTTAAATCCCGCCTGAAAAGACCTCCAGGCGCAAGGCAAAGAGAGGAGACGTTCGAGGAGGCTTGAAGGGCTGAGATGTAGAAGAAGGGATTGAAGGCGGTTGCAACACGGAGTAAGGGGGTTCAAATATAATCACGAGTGAGACAGCAAATTTTCCTCAGCAGATGCCGTGCGGCATTTTGGATGAATGGGTAATGCGATCCGTTTTTCAGCATGTTGGAGATGAGTCTCCGCAACATGAGAAGCGGTGATGCAGCTGCGGTGCAACACTGAGTCGAAGCGAGCGACGCCGGATGAGTGCTCTGACATCACAGCGATGTAAAGCGGGAATCGCTGGTGCACTGTGATTTTTTTTTTTAAACCCTTTTTCTCATATGCTGTTCTGACTGATCTAGGCCGAAATGAACTTGAAAGATCCTAAAGCAGGGGTGTCAAACGTACGGCCCGCGGGCCGGATCCGGCCCGCAAAGGACTTTAATCCGGCCCGCGAGATGATTATGTAAAGCAGTGGTGTCAAACATACGGTCCGCGGGCCGTTCAATCAGGCCCCACAGGATAATTTAAAAGTGAAGAAAATGCATAAAAGACAGAATAAATATTTTTAATAAGGTGCAATTCATTGAGTATCCGCTAGGGGACACTGTTTTGATCAGAGAAGAAGACAACAGCAGCCTCAGTCCATCACTGAGACAGACCCATGACAGCAGACGCTGTCAATAGCACTCTCACATTTACACATTTAATAGCACGCTCCTGAGTTTGTAAGGTGTAGGCAGGGATTACATTTAGATTTTATATGCACGTGTAAATGGTTTAAAACTTCCTTTCTTTATAAATCTCGTTTAATCTTAAAGTGCATTACTATATTCTTCAAAACCAATTACTTCTTAAAGTTTGTACAATCAGTGGGATCAGTTGCAATGCATATATGTGAATGATAAAAGTAAATTGCACATTTGTCGAAGGAAATGTAAGGTGCTTCACGAAATGTTTTGTAAAAGATATGTTCATTTAATTTCAACATTTTCCTAATGTTCTTGTGCTTCTTTATACCAAAACAAAGGAAAGACATATTGTTTTGGTTATTTCTAGCAAAGTATGGTATCATTTTAATGGTCCGGCCCACTTGACATCTACCCAGGCCGTATGTGGCCCACCATGTGAAATGAGTTTGACACCCCTGTCCTAAAGGATTTAGATCCTTGGGTAGCAAATGTAGTTTTTGCTCCTTTCTGCTGCTGACAAATATGACCACGACAAGCTCGCTCATTTACGAGGCACTTAAGCTTTTCTGCTGCTCGTGTGCCTCTCGATCATGATATCCGCTCTGCTACTCAGTGAACTCGAACTCATACCATAAAGGCAAATGGAACCTTGCGTCGTTCCAGATAGTCCTTGATTCCAGAGGAAGAATGTTCAGTTGGTGCAATCGTTGACCTCTCCCAACTTGTTTCTCGACCTTATCCGCCATGACATGACAAGTACCTTTTGGTCTGCTCTGATGATGTCATATTCAATTCATTTGTTCCTTACGAAAAATTGTTCGTTTTCTTCCGAGAGTCGTGTGAGTAGTCCTAAATTGATTACGCAAGTTGAATGGCTCGGGTGTTTAAGTTATAAGGTGATATTTGAGTTCCATCTGTGCAGAAATTCTAAAAAAAATACACGGGGTCTTTTTACCAAATGCATCATACAACCATGCTCATATTTTTCTGTTCTTTTAAACCTTTTCTTCTCTGAGCAAGTAGATTCAAATTCTACTAATACTTAGATTGGCAGCATGATGGTCAACTGGTGAGCACATCGGCCTCACAGTGCGGAGGGGCAGGGTTCGATTCCTGTGTGGAGTTTGTATGTTCTCCGCGTGCCTGCGTGGGTTTTCTCCGGGTACTCCGGTTTCTTCCCGCATTCCAAAAACATGCATGGCAGGCAAATGAAACACTCGAAATCGTCCCTTGGTGTGAGCGCCGATGGTTGTTCGTCTCTGTGCGCCCAGCGATTGGCTAGCGAGCAGTTCAGGGTGTACCCCGTCGACTGCCCGAAGTCATGTGACTCAATTGAGAAGACGTGATTATTTCAGTGTACATACATTACATTTGGTGATATTTTTATTGGGCAGTGTGCCGTGAGATTTTTATTTTGTGTTTTGGCAGAAGTTGGCACATATTGTAAATGTGCGCCAAAAGTTTAACTCTTTTCATCATTGGATTCCGACAATCCACATATTGCACATTGTTATGAACTGATGCTCATTACAGTGGAGAGGTTCATTTTCCAGATGGGCCGCTATGTACAGCTGAGCAATGCTAATAATGAGCAGTATGTAATTACATAGCATTTAGCTTCTTGTTATCTAAAGCCTTTAATAATATCCCTCTTGCATTCCCTGGAGTTTTATCTGGAAATGTACCTGGGTGAGTGGGAGTTTTAGCCCACTTCCATTCTTGAAAGCAATATCCAGCAGAGCTGATGTGCAGATGATTGTCTCCTTTGACCAAATTAAGAATTTTCACTTCTGAGTTTGTAATATTCCGTTTTTAAAAATCATCCAAATTGTGAGGATGACCTCGAGCTTCGTAGCCCTATGAAGCAAGTGGGGGGTCTTTTTGAGGAAAAATAACTGTACGTTATGATTACTGTCGCCATTCTTTTTTTTTTTTGGTTTGAGTTACCATGGCAGCTCAATTTAAATCCTATTCAAGGACTCTTAAAGGAAACTTTGAGTGGGTTTGAGCTGCGCATGAGTGCAATGGGCCTCAATTGCAGTTGACAGAAGACCTGACCCTTTACGCACAGAAAGGAAATGATGAATGAGGTAGCCCGGCAAATTTGCATGACACACACCACACACGTGTATGTAAAAGTACGAATGCACGCAGAGCAAAAACACTCTCGCACCCTTGAATTGTGCTCACTGAATTGGACACAAAGTGCAAAGGTGTCATCCTTTTTCAGCGAAATATGTCGACACACACACACACACACACACACACACACACACACACACACACACACGGAATAAAAAACAGGGCCGTCTAAGTGTAAGGCAAAGTTACTATGAGCTGATGGGAGGGGCTGTAGAAGATAAAAAGCTGTCTGGTGAATTATTAATGTCCAAGCATTGTGTCCACTGCCTCTTTAAAGACACACGCACACACACACACACACACACACACACACACACACACACACAGCTGCAAATCCCAGTTGTTTGTGCAGACAGGAAACGACATACTTGTCGCTCTGTCTGGATTTCGGGCATGTGTAACTGCTCTGTTTTGTCCGGACCCAAAAGAGGAGGGGGTGTTTGTAGCTCTTGGCTGAATGGAGAATGTTGTGTGTCGGGGTGCAAGTGGGGTCCGTGTGCGGATGAGGCAACATTCACATACCGTCTGCCAGCAAACCGTCCGACAATGTATTGAAAAGTCCTAAACAGCTTTCATTTATGCGGCAATCAGCATTCAGTTTGCTGTAATAATTGGTGCGTGTTGTAATCATTCATGATTAAATGAAAACATGATTTATTCATGCTCGAGCATAAATGTGTAAATGTGTCTTTAAAAAAAAAAAAAAAAAGGCGTTAACAGCCAAAATGCATATTTATTACGTTCCCCCTCACAGTTTACGCCCGCTCACGACGATGCATCCGTTTAGCTGCAAACCAAACAGCGAGTAGGATTGCATAGCAGATGCTTAAAAGACGAAGTGAATAATTCAAGCATTGAAAAACAGGGTGTACGTGCACACCTCAAGCTCACTCCCGAGGATGTGTACCTGCAGATGTTCCTTTATTTCCTGCGAGAGGCGCGGTGCGCAAACACTGCCATCGCTAAATATTTCAAAGCGCCGTTTTGTAAACCACGTTCTTGCTTTTCTCCCGATCTCTCCCTTTCCTAGCAGGTGCCGCTGTGGCCCAGAGAGTGGTGACGGTGCAAAGCGGGCCCCTGATTCGGACCGAAGGCTCCCACGTGACCATCTGGTGCAACGTGACGGGCTACAAGGAAGGCTTGGAGCAGGACTTTGAGTGGTCCATGTACCTGCCGTCCGCACCGGACCGGGAGATCCGCATCGTGAGCACAGCCCAACCCAACTACGCCTACGCCGTCTACGCCCAGAGAGTGAACAGCAAGGACATCTACGTGGAAAGGCTGAGCCGTGACTCGGCCATGCTGCACATCACCAAAGTGCAGGCCAAGGACCAGGGCCTATTCGAGTGTTACACACCCAACACTGATGGCCGCTACCTTGGTTCCTACAGCGCCCGCACCAACCTCACTGGTGAGTCTTCATCAGAAATCAATTAGCATACACGCTTGCACATTTCATTTCAGGGGCTCTTGGTTCATGACGGTTCATTTCAAGGTTAGAAAAGTTGCAATATGTCACCGCCTTGCACAATAACGCACGCTTGGTTACCACCGCACTTGGGGCCTGATCGCAAAAAGCGGACTCTTCGCTCGAGCAGTTGACGGACGTGTGGGGAGTGATCTTCTAATCTTCAGGCGCAACTGGTGATGTGTAAAAGTGGTGGAGCCCAATCAATGATAGTTTTTCACTTTCGGGTAGTTCTGATGGTTTTCAACCATGTAAAATTTGGGAGACAGCGCGAGGGCAAAATGAACTTTGAAGTGATAGAATTGGAAGTGGTACCGGAATAGGTAAACTGACAGTTTACTGACACCCTGTCGGGGGGGGGGGGGGCTTCGTATATGTGCAGGAATTGTGTCAATTTCAAGTCATATGGATCGACTCCTTGCTGTGGCTGGCTCCAAGTCAGCCCTCACATCATTCAGAATTTCTAAAATAGTCTTGCCAAATAGACAATACAGAACATATTGATTATTTTTGTTTCTGGCATTTCGAAAATGGTTACACCAATGAAAAGATCCGTTTTTTCAGTCATAGAAACTGCCAACGCTATGTAATCCGTAAGGCACAGATGCAAAATTTGTCAGACTCACTCCTGAATGTGCCCGGTTAGGAGTTCAACCATGGTAGTTTTAACTCATTCAGTATCAGCCAATTCTGGACCAAGTCTGAAAAGACGTTTAAAACAGTCTTTGGGAGTGAATGAGTTAATTATGACTTTAGCATTGTTTTAGCGGAAGTTGGTGATGGGCTATGCCACCTCAAGAAACCGAGGCGTCCGTGATTCAATGTAGTTTTGCTGTCTTAAAACCAACAACTCTTCCAGGCAGCATGATTCAACTTAATTTGACACTGGTGTCGATATACAAGTATAGTCATTCGGAGAATTTGTTTTCCCTCATCCATAATAGTCATTTATGCAGTTAAGTTTGACTACAGTCGATCAAGTAAAGGGTTTACCAGTCCAAGCTACACTGCGGTGACCTTAACTACTGTAATGGGAATTTGACATCTAAAGCTCAACAATGTCATCCTCGGAAAATATTGTCACTAGAAAAGAAAGGTGCGATTCCGAAAACGTCAATTTTGCCTTCATTTGTGTCCCCCTCTGAGCTACTTAGTTGTTTTTGGAACCCTCAAACTCTGAATTAAAGTTTTATCTCAGATGAAGCACTTCAATTCACCTCCCCCAAAAAAAAGCCCTTAAAGCCTTTCGACAAGTACAGATGCTCAAAGGTGCAGGCTGTCCTACAATGCTTCCCACTTTGGGAAACCTTCCATTCCTTCAGGTCTTTTTCATGGGATCACAGCAATAGCGCGAGCATTGATACACACTTAGATGATTGGGCCCCTTTTGTGGCCTGCTATTGTGCAGCCACACGTGTCCAAATCCGGTCAGGCATTTGGCTGACGCTCGAAACAAATGTGAGATGCAAAGTGCGTCATTTGGCTGACGCTCGAAACAAATGTGAGATGCAAGGATAGCAGGATTAGAATCTCATCAACTGGAATAACTTTGTTTGACTTGTTTTAACTGTGGTGACTGGATATGTTGCACTGCACTGTGTCACCTGTTCACCAGGCTTTGCCTACAACACACGCGCACACACACACATATCCTGCGCGTTTGTCCAACAGGCCCACACAAGTCAGGACAGCTGCCATCATTTGAAACTCCCTCCCATTCATGGCGTCGTAATGAATGCAGACTTTGGCTGACCTTCGTCTCAGGGGTCAAAGGGCAAAAGAAGCAACCAAAATGGCCTTCGTCGTCCCAGACAAACTGTGAAAGCCGGGCCACATTGAACGCATCAGTCAGAATCGGACAACGCAAGCAAGCGACCGGGGAGAAGACCAAGGCTCAAATATTCGTTGCTTCTTGACAAATTTCACTCGAGAGGGCCGTAAGGTAAACGGAGCGTTGCAGCAAAGTGGAGCGTGGAGCGGCCAACGTGGCGCCCCGAAGGACCAGTGATGGGACATTGTGATTTCCGAGTTAATGTAAACACTTGCCGAGATTTATAGGAATAGTGTTGCCTCGTGATACTCTTGACATAGTTCACAAACGATTGTCACACATTGTCGTTACAGTTGTTTATCTCCCAACTTTGGCTGTTCGCGGCGTTTTGTGAATGTGGGCCGACTGTGCAGTATTTTTGGATGCACGTGAGAGAGAACCAGAGGAGCCGTTGTGGGACTTTATCTTCGTTTTTGTCCGTATCCGTAACCTCTTAACCTGCTTTTGGAAGTCGGGTTCCACACGGGTATCGTGCTTCTTTGTCGTTGGGTATGTGATGTTCCTTTGTGCTCCAAGAACAGCTGCACGCCTTCTTCAAGCTTTGTAGACAAATGAGACCTTGACACCCCCCCCGCGTCACCCCACTCCACCCATTCTTGCTCTGCTCCTGACTGTTCCGGCTGCCTACATCAGTCCTTGACACTTCCTCTAATGTGCTTCGGTTCTTTTGATATGGCAGCCCTTTTATGAGGCGAATGTATTCGACAGACCACCGTGCACTGTGAAGCAAGGACAGTGGAACCTCTAAAGCCGTACGTCCTTGAAGTCATAACATTTGAATTTCAACAAATATTATGAGGGGGTGGAAAATAAAAAAGACACGGACGAAGCATCGGCGTTCGAACCAATGCGATGCGTGTCGATCACAGTGGCACATCAGCTCGAGCGCGGCATCTTTTTGGGCCTTTTTTGTGTCACCTTTTCCCTTAAGGAGCGGCCTCAACATGAAGTGCTTCAGCAAAGAAGAACACAGGAAGAAGGATGTGTGACGTTAGCGTCACCATGCATGCCTATGTCACTTATCAAAAGTCCATTTCCCTGGCTCTTCCTGGTTTGTAATTCTGTCAAAACATTGACAGAATGTGAAGTCAACCCAGCAATTTCCCGGCTTAGGAGATAGTAACAGATGATCTTTTTTTTTTTTTTTTTCCGCGCTCAGTATTGGTTCAATTCTCTTTCTGCTTGTGTGACCATTAAGAAAGTAAAGAAGCGAGAGGTCGATCTGAGACCGTACTTGTTTTACTGTTCACATGTTTTTCGACCCGTTTGAACATTAGTCAAAATAAGCAAGAAATGAATGTCACAGTTTAATCCTGTGAAAGATTTGTAATTGTTTTCTGTTTGTAAAAATCCAACCATTCATCTATTTTCTGTCGCACTTGTCGTCATTGAGATGATGGCGGAGCTGCTGCCTATCCCAGCTGATTTTGGGCAGCAGGGCGAGACTGGCTTCCGGCCAATCAGTTTTAAAATCAGTGGATAATTTGTAGGGTGACGAAGTTTCCCAAAATCGGGTTATGTCCAACATTTTAAAGGTTTCGGTATACTGGGAAGGTGCAGGTAATCTTCAAAATCCAATGTTAAGGTGTCTCTAGTTTGCATGGTTTTGTTTGCAAACCTGCATTGCGTGTTCTAACGCGAGTGCGGTATAGGTAAGCTTTCCGTGTGTCTAAACTTAGATCAATCAAATAAAAATGGAACTCCGCTGAGGCCTTGTGCAATGCTGCCTTGGGCGGTGCGGTAATAATATGCATGAGAATGTTGTAATTGGCTATCACGGCACAAATGCACGATTATTTCCACTAACACGGGGAACAGCACCTTTCCGTAATGCCGGAAAAGGTTACGTTTCACTTTTCATTTGGTGTTTTGCCCCTGAAAATGTTGCCGTTATGTTTTTGTTGAATACGTGTATTCACCGGTGACTTTCTAAATGCGTCCATCTATTGATTTGCTTTAAACAAGACAGATTGATGAGTTTGAAGGCATGCGCCAGGGTTGTGACTCCCAAGCCACAACATTATGTACACCCCACACCAGCTAACGAGAGCCGATATGATTTTTATTGTGGTTGTGTGTAACTCATTGCGCGAGGGTGACCAAAATATCACAAACACCCGTCAGCGTCATGCAGCGCTGTTTCGGTTTGCAGCTAGCGTTATCGCTCTGCGTGTCGCTCGCTTGACACATTTGTTGATGCATTACGCTTTGTGATGATGGCCATTAAAAGTCAAAGCAGCATTAGGTTTACGTTTTATATGCTGCAGGTCTGCCGTCATCGATGTCGAATGCTTTGATACGGCGCGCTATCGCTGTAAATTACGGTATGGATAGCAGCCCCATTCGAGTGGCGTACACTTTGTACGACTTGAATACCGTTAGTATAATAGATATAAATATTGGTCTTTTGAACTGAGTAAAAAAAAATGTCTTGCAATGTGTAATGCGAAGGATCTAGTTCGAAACTGACTTTAGCGTTGTTTTCTTTTTAATTTATGATTTTATATATTTTTATGAGTCCATATTTTTTTTTTAAATTCTACACCGTTTTTATACCCTGTAACCCCTCTGCAGTGAAATTGAAGCAAAATGTATTTTGAATCGTGTGTGTTATGGCTCGTTTGGCATTGTTAGACTCGCATTATGACTAAAATAAAATAAAAATAAAAGTTTCACTCTACTCAGTAAAAGGGCCATCGCTGTTGCCTTGAACAAATTCTTTGGATGCCAAAATCTGACTCCATTTTATTTATTGATTTCTTTTTAAATTAAACACAATCTGTTCTGGGACACTGGTTGGGTTTCGGTTTGTTTTTGATTTTGAATTCGACTTAATTTGAATTTTGAGTGTCAAAAACGAATGATTTTCTCATGTTAAAACAACATGCTACGCTACGCTACCTTAACTTTGATGACGAGCGTCAACAAATTGTTGCCATCATGAACCCATTACCGCATTAAAACAACAAAACACGCTATCTTTATGCCAATAGATAACAAATTATCAGTTTTGTCATTTGCAATGATCATGTATGTCACGTTGCAGAAAAAAAGAAGTAAAAAAATCTTTTTTATCATGAATTTTACCAGCTCGGGTGCCTTCAAGATCAGT